GAGGTTTTGCCTTCAAACATTGGCCCTACTCGGGCTACATTCTACCAAATTCCTCTCACTTCATCACCTGCAATCATCTGGCGATACATAACTTGAACCGGTCTTTAGCAAAACCACATTCGTTCAGTTTTTAAGAGAATTCATCTGTTGTTACCATGGCAGTCGCCGTGGGTAAATATATCGATTTCAAACAAGGCAAACTTTAATTTGAGTCTTTACTGAACAGTAGCAGACGTATGTACCGTCGGGTTCTGTAAAACGACATGAGTCCTGGACTCGTGTTGTTTTTGCCAGGTCTCAATTTTCGTTTTGGAAACAAAGAAATCCCTCAAACCAACAGCGATTTTAATAGACAAAAAACACTCGACTACGTGAGCCATGTAATGTACTTGTAAAAACACAAGGAAATAACTTTAGCTTATAACTCTAGATACAAAAATGCTGACTAACAATAACTATGTAAAAATAGACGTTTCCCAAATATTCTTGTGCAAAATGAAGTATTTTTGCTAGTTTGTTTTTGATTTTTCTTGTTTTTTGATTTTGTTTAATACTATGTCTTATTCTACTAAATAAACCCTGCTATAAATTTATGAAACGTCGCATACGATCCAAAATACCTCAAAAACCGCTTATATAAGAAAGAAATCTAAATTGTTTCATTAGAATGAAATTTCATTTTCGTGAGATTCATATTAAACTTAAATTCTTGTTTTATCTGCCCGTCACTTTCAGACTCTTATTTATTTACCCACTTTCTTGTACACGTTTCAACCCAGTGTGGTCATCGTCAGGTTGGAATACGTGCCTGAGATTATCATTTTCTCCATTCTCATGAAGTCACAAATAATGAAAATAAAATTTTAGGTTCAAAAAAGTTTTTAAAGTAGTTTAAACTACTTAAAATTTAAAATTAATGTGAATTCGGGTGTATTTTTGTAATCTGTGAGAAGAAAGTTGCAAATTACTAGATGTTACACGTTTACATGTCTACCTGTTAAGTAGTTGAGGAGAATTCTTTTCTGTTTGATCAGTAGGGAGAGAAGATAATGTGATATTATCTATGGGGATATATTTTAAGATTTTATGCATCGCTACTAGTACAGGGTTTTTATTTATATTATTAGTGTTCTGTCTGACGACAGGTCCACATGAACAGGATCCTTCCATCCTTTTCTCGGACTGGGACCTGTTCATATACGTTCTTGGCAGATGATCCAGAAGTGGTTTGCCATTGCCTTCTTCTGTGTGTGAATGAAGTAATTGTTGGGATGCCACGGAGGAAAACTCCGTGTTGCCTAGACCACGGCCTTGCCCAACACAAGTTATAAATTCGGGCACCGCCGGGAATCGAACCCGAGACCCCAGGATTACAAGGCCAGCGTTCTAACCGCTGGACCACCGTGGCGATTCTTTTACGTATAGGAAGATTAGAAAAACAAAAACAAAGAATAACACAACAGACTTTAACGTTAAAAATATTGGCCCAACTGCAGTGGACAAAGAAAATTAAAATATTAGCTGTGGAGTCAGAAATTGGCCAGTTTTGAGAGTAATTTGACAATTATTCTACTGAATAAAAACCTTTTTATGAATGAGCATGCATCAGTGGTTTTTAAAGCCTATAACTTGACAGAAGATTTGGTTTCCTTTCAAGATATCTGATCCGCATTACTTACTGATAAGGCGGCTTGGAATAATTCACCTGGTAGGGGAAATCTCCTTGACTGGCCTTGGATCCGCCGATAATCCTGATCTTCGTCGTGTCACAAATGTCGCCTGTGCCATTGCCAGTTTCGTTAAATGGCGACACCGAAGACCCAATCTCCAATACAGTGACGTTATCAAAATTTGGCAACGTCGTTCCGAGTCCTTTAACACCTTGACAGGAGTAACAGATAATTAAACTCTCAAGAGATACACATATCACAAGTTAATCACTCCATCGATTCCTCCTTCCAAGCTGATAATCTTTCAGCCAGAGAATCATTGCTGTGTCTGTATGAACCTGTCAGTAGCCCCAAATGTGTCCGGAATAAAACCAGTAGCACCCTATCAAACTACGTCTAAGCTGCATTTTAATATCATCCTTACTAGTTTTTTTAAAAAATTCTTTCGTATTTGAAAAACTTGAAAGTTATATTATTCCATTTTTTATTTTATTCTGAAATTGAAGGGCGTGTAAAATTATTAGATATGTCGGATGGTTCGAAATATAAAGGTTTTAATATTTATACTTTTTTAAATGATAGATTGTTGAGAAAAATCTAGTCTTAGAATTTATGTTTTTAATATTAGTATATTATAATGCTGATGCTTGAAATAATGGTAATATTTTAAAAATACCATATAAAAGATTTTTTTAAAAAAAATAATTTTTAATAATTTATACTTTTTATTTTTTTAAATAAAATTAAAAATATCTTAATAAACCATTAATTTATCCAACTAACCTAATTATTCCATTTACCATTTCTAAGGTAAGGTATTCAGTCGCCGAAATTAAACTTGCTTGTCATTAAAATTTACGATGTTCTTCGCTAGAAACATTTTTGTCCAAAATTTTATTTCTTGGGTTTAAATGTTATCCCCGGCATTCTTTCTGAAACAGTCTTAGTCCAATGATCACGACTGCTCAAACAACAAATAAAATTATATTATTTTGCGTATTTTGGTTTTATAATCTTCGCAAGGTATAACAAAACAAATCAACTTACGTAAACTTAAACAAAATCAGCTCTCGTATAGAAATCGAAATATAACCAAGGGTTTGTAGGTAGTTCGTGGATTACGGTTTCTTTGTTATTTGTTGTTAGTGACATCTTCATTTTCATTGAAGATATTGGACGTAGAAATAACCTTCGTGTTTTCAAAAACGTAACAGACCGAAGGAAAAACTTCTTCCCTCAATGGGAGGAAGTATCAGTGCCTTCAGATATGGAGGTCAGCTGTCAATGGCTTGAAGAATAAGTTTCGGACAGCCGACAAGGTGTGGTCCTCTACCTTTAGGAGTTGAGTGCCAACAGGTCCACAAAGGAACCAGCGTGTTATGAAATGCTACACACGTACGAACGTACATATGAACGTGTATAATTCAAGAAAGTCCCTGTGCTTTTATACGAATATATTTCTCACAGAGAATTAACTGTTAGAAAATGACGCAACTAGTTGAAAGAATGTAATGACACAAAGTCAGTGTCACGTGACATAAGCCATGTGTTTGCTTAGGGACTTTTTAACCACTGTGTATAATAAATGTAGATATGATAAGAGGCTTTTCTTATATTGAGAAATTAAAATTTATTATAAAATTACATTAAAAAATAAATTAGACTATTTTTCTTATAAATACGTTTGCAAAGTCCATTTAAACTTCATGGCTAATTATAAATGCATGCAAGTTATAGTCAAAGGTTTTCGAGACTTCTTAAGGCAGACTAGGGATAGAGGTCAAAATAAACGAATCAGTGATTCTAGCTTAAGTTTAACCCACGAAATGCCTGAACGCACTTTGCGACGTGTGACTTAACGACTTCTGTCTCAAACTTACTCACCAATGGCCGTACGCAGTACCACCAACGCTACAGTGAAGTGCATGATGATAGTTGGCAACATGTTTGCCCTGACTCACACCGGTGCCTGTCCTAAGATAAACTGGCATCGCGCTCTATCAGTGAAATGAATGTTGGACACTGAGCAAAAGATTATTCACAATCTGCAAGGCACACGTATCACAGAGAGAGATATACTTCCAGCCAGCTGTTGAAGTCAGTCGTCATAAAAAATGCTTCCATCGATCCACTGCCCTTTTTCAGGAGTAAGTTTGTAGGATTTGGGGTTTTCACGTCTGTGAGTCTGAAGATGGCTGTCTTCTGGGTTGTTAGGCCGTGTAGTCTGGCAGAAATTTATCGACGTTTCAGAGGTCCTTGCTCGCCCTGATGATGGAGGCATCAGGGACATCCGTAACGTCGGTAAACTACCCAGAAGTAAGTATGTTCCTGTTAAAAACTGTAGTACGAAAGCAGTCTCCTTTATCGGCCTATCTCGTTAATTGAATAAAATTTTTGGATATTATCCATCGTCTAGTAAATATAAAACGTAAAACGACGTTTCGGAGATAGGGATTAGCTCTATCTAGTGGGCCCAACTGTGTAGGAACCTGAAGACGGAGATAGAGTCCCATCTCCGAAACGTCGTTTTACGTTTTATATTTACTAGACGATGGATAATATCCAAGTAAATTTTTATTCAATTGACTCTTCACCATCGTCAAGAAGTTTTAGACTATCTCGTTCGTTTTTTCGAAATTCCATGAGAGCTACTTAGAATTCACTGATTAGTGTGTGTAAGTCATCACGTAAGCCAGACTTTCCTCCCGAAACGCCGATAATCGCTTACGAGATAATACTTACTGTGGTCCGGAAGACCACAGTCACATTTTCGTCGTCATCTCGTACCGAAAGTCGTGGTGGGACATGGTCAATTCTGATTCATATTCAGGGTGTACCAGGTTCAAATACTGGCCCGGAGACAGGGAATTTTGAATCAGACCTCAAGTAAGGTCACGACCGCTTCCTTACAGATCCTTTCCAATATTTACAATCATCCTCTCGTTCTACGTGATGTGTAACTTCGCCTATACCATCGTTAAGGAAACTTCTTTAATCTCATATCTTCAGGCCTTCGCTATCTCTTAACTGAAGCGAATATAAATTTATCAGCTTTATTCAAGTTATAACACATGTATAAATTTCAAAGAGATTGCTTTCAAAATGATTTTATTTTCTTACGTGTTCTCGCTGTAGCCACTGACTGGGGCTCGTCCGTGCGTCTTCCGCGATTGCGTAGGGACGAGGCAGCCAGCATGAACCGGGGTCACAGTTGGAAAACAACGCCATTCTTACTTGGTAGGGATGACGGACAAATATACTCTTTTTAGCTTCAAAATGTTGCAGAAGAGGATGAAGGTCCTTCTATGATACGAGATATTAATACGAATCCGAGTTCATTCGATAAAACGCGGATACTCACGAAAACCATCCTTAAGTTACATCTTAGTACAGGCATACCTCGGAGATATTGCGGGCTCGGTTCCAGACCACCGCAATAAAGCGAGTCACACGAAGATTTTGGTTTCTCAGTGCATATAAAAGTTATGTTTACTCTATACTGTAGTCTATTAAGTCTAAAAACAACGCGAGAATTACCGAAATGTGACGCAGAGATACGAAATGAGCACGTGGTGTTGGAAAAATGGCGCCGATAGACTTGCTCGACGCAGGGTTGCCAACAAACCTTGTAAAAAACGCAATATCTGCGAAGCGCAATAAAACGAGGTATGCCTGTACTCTCTTCCCATCTAGCCCTCGGTCTTTCAACGGGGCTTTTCCAAATATATTTCGCCACAGAATTAACTCTCCGCGATCTCCTACAGTTCGCTATCGTAACAAACAAAGTCTTGTGTACACATTTCGACCACAGTTCTTGAAGCTGTAGTAACTTCACACATCGTTCACAGATGGCAGGCCATTTTAGTATCGTCTATCCTCTCTTTAAATCGATATATCTCGAAGTAATAATATTACACTTCCTACATTTTATAGCCTACAACATCAAACCGGCGATACATATTTTCATAAAAATCCTTCGATTGGCTGTCGGGTTTAAAAATTCGTACGCAGAGACTGAGAACACGAAAAATGCGTTGTTACATTCAGCAACGATAAGAGAAGATTAAATGAAGAAGTGTTTGAATTAAATTGGAATTTTCTCTAATTACTGTTCCGTTAAAGTACTTTAAGTTCATAAAGAGTAACATGAGTTACGTCATATTAATTATTATTAATCTGTACTTATTTTCTTCCCATCTTGCTCAAGAAACGTAATTATTAAATTATAAAAAATTATTTTTAGCGACCTTGAGAATAGGTAAATCCATCGACTTAAGAGTCAGGCTTCAGACAATTGGGCGTCATAATCCAGAAGACAAATAATCCAGGCGTGTAGAACTGGATGAGTCTGCAGTTCTCGGAACTCTCATTTCAAAGATTCGGTTTCAGCCGCCAAGTTTTGACTGAACCGAAAATTAATTATATATATATATATATAAACGAAAACAAAAGAAAATTTCAAACTGCATATTAAACTCTCTTAAAATGTAGTTATTAACGTTTCACCGCTTCGGACCGGCGATACGGAATGCTCTCTGGTTCGAGTCTCGGGGGGGAGAAGAAATTTTCTCGTGAGCTTTCGACCAGTCCAGCATCGTGAGGAAATTGGGGAGCTACAATCCGGTCAGGAAAAGCTAGCAATGGCTGGGGGTTCGTCGTGGTGACCACACGTCACCCTCTATCTGGTTGGATGATCGTCCACCTCTGCTTAGGAATGTGAACGTGAGGCCAGCAGTCAACCTAGTCGGCTTTGGCTCTCAGAGGGCAGTTAAGCCACGGATTATCATCAACTATTGCCGCTTTATCTCTGTCTGCTTACTGCGTAAAAAAAATGTCCGATCGCAAGACTGCTGTTTCTAGACCTTCCTTCACGTTACGTGTTACTTCAGCATAACAAGCATTTTACCTTTAAGTTCGTGTCTTAATTGAAAAAAAAAATCATATTCGTCTGAAAAAATAATCTTGCACCGTAAAAATCTCTCAAATTTGTTTTTGGTTCCTGAATATTTAGGGTTGAACATCCTTTCGTCCTAGCACCAAATCTGGTTGAACATCAGAAAGTCTCTCGACGGGTGCATAACAATCTTCACATTTCAAATTAATTCTATTTGGCTTTGTGCGTTTTTCCTTAACCACGTGTAACAAAAAAAAAAACTATGAAATAATTTTCTCGTTCTGAAATTTGTGACTCGGCACGTATTCCTTGTTTACACGAATTAAAAATACGCCTCTTCATTAAGTGTAATTGTTTAACATCAGAGTAGTTCATAAAATGACGACTACCCGAGCGAACATCATAAAAATATTCCAATTCAATCTTTAATTTTACTTCGTTGCATCGACAGACACGTAACCAATTACAGACGCAACACAAAAGCAAATACAGTCAAAATTATTCAATGCGATCAAAATGAGAGTCTGTAATTTGCATAATTATGCTAAACAAGACACTAACATAAACAAAACAAAATGGTTAATAAATATATCAATGCCTTTACAAAATATGCTTGGCGATGATACACGTCTAGCAGATGGACATTTTATACCACAGAAACCGAAATAAAATGAAAATTTTTAAAGTATCGAAGGCCAGAAGTTTAAACTAGGGCAGGGCGACATTTAAAATCGTTGTTCAAATTACCAAGAAAATACGTACTTAATGACGGCTCGTATGAAAATTGAGATAGTCGAAAGCAGTCCCAAGGCTACATATATATTGTAAATGGGGGCTGGAAACTGCATCTGGTGGTCGCTCAGTGTATAAAACCATACTTGAGTTAATTCGGTCACGTAAACCAAGGCTTGGTGTTCCCAAGATGTCACCGTGCTCTTAGGGCCCTCCTTTCGCACCAATCGCATTTGCCTGCCATTTTGATACTAACGACACGCAATTAAACGTCAGAAACGTTGAGCAGTTTCGACGTAAACGACCAGATTCAATAAAACTCGTTTACGGAATCTACAACTGCGTTAAGGAAACAGAATTAGTATGTAATTAAATATTTTCAATGTCAGCCGAACAAGAAATCATTAAGAAATGCGCTAGTATAGATGATAAAGACATATAAAATGAGTTCACAGGAATAAACTACGCCTGAATTCATATTATAGACAGACCTGAAGTCCCTGGTCCGTGGTTTTAAACCACACAAATCGATCGAAGTTAGCGCTTCCGTGTTTCAAAACATGAAATCGCTGCATCCGGTATAAAATAATGAAGTAATTCGTAAGCAAGTGACAGTTCGTTGTAACGGTTTCATGCGCCAAACTCCCGCTGTATCGCGTTCCTCGTGTTGCAATGTGCGGAAAAAGCTATTACGCGTTTCATGCGATACGGAGCTGTGACTGTGGAAACAGATAAGCAGCGAAGGGCGGGACCAGAGTCAGGGCTCGAAATGTGTGCCTTTGAAGCTGAACCTGTCGTCTGGGGATGCGAGCCAAGATCCCGGGCGAGAACAGCCAAATTCACGGAGCACAGAGGCCAAGATGCTGATTCCTCTAGCCTCTGCGTCCAGAACGCTTCTGAGGCCCACCCAGGCTCCAATCCAATGGGTACCGAGGTCCTTTCCCGGGGCGTGATGCTGACCACTCACCCCCATCTAGTGCCGACGTCAAGAACGAGTAGGACCTATACCCTCCCCCCCCCCCAAGCGCCTACATGGCGTCTATCGGCACAGTTTTACTTTGATTTTAGACTATCAGTAGATGAACAGGAATGATAATTTTCAGTCGACGTGTCGTTGGAAACAAATGTTGAGTGAAGAACGCCTTAAAATATTCTTACTACGAATACGAGGTTTACGAAGTTTAGAATCAAAAGCAAAACAAAAATCCCGTTTTCACACCGAAAGTAATAACTAACTGTGCTTTTATTAACTTTGAGTCTCATGAGGTTAATTACGCACGAACAAACAGATGGAGTAAGCATTCTGAATTGAAGCAAAATAAGGTAATTAGAAAACCGAGCAAGTAATTAAAGTAAGCACTGAATAGCAAAGACTCCGATAAGATCCTTGTGGGACACCAAAAATAACTTCAAAAGGCTACGTCAGATCACCAGTTTAACGAAAATGGTTAAGTGGATGTGGAACCAATTTATATGTAGCAAGCAGGTCATCCATAACCAGTAAAAGTTTTTGGAGAACGAAGCCACGCGGAATGAGGCCAGGATTAAAATAAGTGACGCCAGCTTAATATTTAAAACAAACTAAAACGATGCGGGCAAGGGTTCAATTTAAACTTTGAATAAAGAGAAACTCGGTAACGTATAAGAAATTAAATTCACTGGAAAAATTTATGTTAGCAAGACAATTCTAGCGCGTTTTAAGAACAGATACAAAGATACAGCAACACGCATAAGAAAACCTCTCAAATTCTCGGTTATCATCGAAACACGTCACCTACTTATCTCTTTCAGAAACTTTCTTAGCGTGTTTGAGAACGATTGGCAGCTGAACTGTTGCAAGTTCGTACCTAATCCTTGAGCATTGTTTGCGAAATTCTTTTCTTGAGCGTGAATCTGTTTTGTATGGGTGCGAAACATGGTCTCTCACTCAGAGGGAGGAACACAGATTGCAGGTGTTTGAGAATCGGGTGTTAAGGAGGATATTTGGGCCTAGGAGAGAAGACGATGGG